ATTATTTTCCCACTGTTTTGTTATGAATTCCAAGCACTTGGTAGCATCTTGGTTGTGCTTTGTTGTCATCATCCGGGGACTTTTACAAATGTTTAGTCACACTAGTTGGAGCTCAACTAGATAGTGTTGAAACCAACACATAATGACTGCACGCCATTGTAGTTGTAGTGAAAGCAAAACTTTCAGTCCGTGCTCTACGACGGCAGTTGGGTAGACAGAACTTGCTACTCCAAATATCAACATGGTTTGCGTGTTTCTGGTTTACAAAATTTCCTATAATTTCGTACACAACCATTGCAGAACACAGTGAATGTTCAGCCAAGACTAAAATGACCATGGTGTCCAGCTATGACATCACAGCTTTGGACATCTTTTTAGCCAGGAGTTAACTGTAAAGGTCAGCTTTAAACATACCCGAATCATAATTATATACGCTCACAAACACCACTTACTGCCAACAGGGCATAACATACAACTCCCTTCAGTTACATCACACGTCCAGATTATGAAACTTTCAGTCAAAATTTGGGTTTCTAAACATTTTTAATTTTGAAATACCCCAATCAACGTATCAAGACGTTTTTTGGGGGACATTTTATATGCATTTCAGCAACTACTGAAATCTGCACTTTAAGGTACTTAATGAATGGTTTCTTTTAAAAATTAAAAATGATTGAGTATTTTCACATCACATGAAAATATTAATTTTTAATACAAATTTGGCCCTACAAAAAATGGAAACTCAGTAATCAATATAATGGAGATTCTCTAAACATGAGCGAATATCACAGTAAAATTGTTGATTGGGATTTACACATTCGATGTATCCTCAGTAATTTTGTACAATTATACAAAATTATTTTATAAGAACTCAACAACTGAAGAAACAACTTACTTATGTGACTAAATATGAAGTGTTATAACTTACCACAAAAGTTGAACTGTGCCACCGACCCTTGGTAGATCTGTACATGATAAAAAGATGCATTATAAATAATAACACAGCTATTAATAATTATACTGGCGGGGTACATTAAAGATGTTAACGTCACAAAATAAAATAGACTGGTTGAAAAAAGTACAAGGTAATGGTAATGGGGGGAGCCATGAAAATATATCTTTTCAACATGATTCAGTGTGACAAAGCAGGGGCATGATTTAAAAAAACAAAAAAACAAAAACAAAACAGGTCTTTTAACCTACAAATGTTTTAATGGCCATGAAGAAAGGACTCTTCAATAGATCTTTCAACTCACCTGTGTTTACTGTCTCCACCTGAAATTACTTGCAGTCTGAAGTTTTTTTCTTCGGTCTTCAGCCTTGGAATAAAAAAATAAAAATACTGAAAACCTTATCAGCACACTAAATATACAACACCTTGCTATATTTCTTTTTTTCTTTTTTCTTTTTTTTTGCTATATTTCAATCTGGGTATTACTTTTAATTGTTTAAGATAGAAGTTGCCACTGCTAGCTAAGTCACTTTTGAATGATGCTAATGAGAAGAAGAAAAAAACCCGGCCGAACAATGAGGCTGCTGTTGTAAAAACGCCAACTTTCTTGCGTTGGCAATGGGTCGTTAAAATATCACTAAGACACTTTCTTTATGTGCAATTCTTATTAAAACTGTGTTTTAATCGGTTAAAACTGTAAAACTGACGATATCATCGGTTTGAAAAAGAGCGCGAACAACAGCGAACAACAATTCCCTACCTGGGTCTGTGCTGTTTAACACAACAGCGCATTC